GGAACCGCAAGGAAGGCTTCTTGGAGGAGGTGATGCTGAGCCTGATTGCAAGGGTGAGCAAAGGGCTGCAAGGAAAGCTGGGGGAGGTGGGAGCAGCCTGTGCAGGCAAGACGGAGACCAGTCCTCAAGGAGCTCTCACCCAGAGGGGACATCAGATGGGCCAACAGTGGCTTCAGCCTTGGAGCTGGCAAAGGGGGGAGGTTGTGCCAGCTGGTGTCCCAGGCTCTGACTGGCTTCCCGGAGGAAGCAGGGGGCAGATGGGGCAATGACTCACCAGTGCACCAAGATGATGTCCCCACGTACGCAGAGCTGTGCAGTCACTCCTAGAGCAGGCAGGCAGGGTGTCTGGAGGAACACGCCAGCTCTCCACCTGCCATGCTCCCCAGGGAGGGCACCACCTCAGGCCCCAGCCCAAAGAAGAGCAGGGGCATGCTCTGGTGCATGGCCGTTGTCCTGCTTTCCGACCCCCAACAGGGCCTAGCACTCAGGAGGCCTCTGTGAATCCCCAGGGAACTAAAACTTTGGCACTCTCTGTTCCCTCTGCCCAGAGTGCCCTTTCCCTATTTAATTGCATGACACTTTATGACTCTTTCGTTCACTTCATTGATGAAGGGAATGCTTAAATGTCTGCTTAAGTGTCTGCTTAAATGTCACCTCCTGAAAAAGCCATCTCCAGCCCCCACCTTGAAATTGCCTCCCTAGATGGAAGGATATGCTAAGCAAAACCATGGATCAGGCAAACGGCCAAACCAAGAAGGGAGGAAATTTTGTCCATGGCACAAACCACTGATTTTGTAAAAACAATAATAATGACAGCTGGGCACGGTGGCTCACGCCTGTAATCCTAGCACTCTGGGAGGCCAAGGCGGGCGGATTACTCAAGGCCAGGAGTTCCAAACCAGCCTGAGCAAGAGCGAGACCCCGTCTCTACTATAAATAGAAATAAATTAATTGGCCAACTAATATATATAGAAAAATTAGCCGGGCATGGTGGCGAATGCCTATAGTCCCAGCTACTCGGGAGGCTGAGGCAGCAGGATCGCTTGAGCTCAGGAGTTTGAGGTTGCTGTGAGCTAGGCTGACGCCACAGGGCATGAAGTGAGACTCTGTCTCAAAAAAAAAAAAAAATTATAATAAAATAAAAATAAAAGGAAATGAAAGAAGGAAAAAATAGGAAAGAAAAGCTGTTCAAACTGAAACATATCAACCAAACGCAATATATGGACCTTACTTGGATCTGGATTCAAACCAGCCAAGTGTAGAAAGCTGTTTCACGGGAGTGCTCTGGAGCTCAGGTGCACAGTGTGGATGGAGTTAATTCACATTCCTGAACTGCTTAGGAATGCTTATGATGGTAAATTTTATGTTATGTATATTTTACCACAATTAAAGAATTTATAAAAGATATTCATGGACCAATTGGGGAATGCGCACACTGAATATGAGATGATATTAAGAAATCATTAATTGTTTTTCAAATGACACCCACTGGTAATTTTTTTTTTTTTTTTTTTTTTTGGAGACAAGAGTCTCACTCTGTTGACCCAGCTAGAGTGCCGTGGCATCAACCTAGCTCACAGCAACCTCAAGTTCCTGGGCTCAAGCGATCCTGCTTCAGCCTCCCGAGTAGCTGGGACTACAGGCATGCACCACCATGCCTGGCTAATTTTTCTATATATATTAGTTGGCCAATTAATTTATTTCTATTTTTAGTAGAGATGGGGGTCTCACTCTTGCTCAGGCTGGTTTCGAACTCCTGACCTTGAGTGATCCACCCGCCTAAGCCTCCCAGAGTGCTAGGATTACAGGAGTGAGCCACCACGCCTGGCCTCCCGGTGAGCCCAGCCAGCCACTCTCCTACACAGGGGTTTCTCTTCCAGGGGGGCAGGGGCTACTTCTTCCTGTGTCTCAGACTAGCTTTGTCCACAGGAGAAAGAGGGTTACCAGAATTGTGATATAATAAGAAATATATATTGGGTCTTCATCTTGGTTCCCGGCAGAATTTAAACCCCTATAATTTCCTGAGCGATGGGGCGATTATCGGTAATGTGCTCCTTTCCAACACACCTGAGTTCGGGGCTTGGGGCTGGCTGGTAGCCAGAGGAACAGACCATGTCATTAGGGGGTTGGAACTTGCAGCCCCACCCCCTGACCTCTGGGGAGGGGTGAGATTCAGATAATCACCAATGACCAGTGACCTAATCAATCATGCCTAATGAAGCCTCCATAAAGCTCTCAACAATGAGGTGTTGGGAACTTCCGGTCAGTGAATGCATGGCATGCCAGGAGGGTGATGTATCACAATGCCATTAAGGCAGAAACTCCTGTGCTGGGGACCATCTGAACCTTGCCTCATGTAGTCATCTGACCATTAGTCTCTCATCCTTTATAATAAACAGTTGATGTAAGTAAATGTTTCCTGATGTTTGTTGGCCATTATAGCAAATTACAAACATGAGAAGGTGATTGGGGGAACCCCCAATTTTGGGCTGGTCAGAAGTAAAGGCAGCAACCTGGGCATCTAAAGTGGGGCCAGTTTTGTGGGATTGAGCCCTTAACCTGTGGGGTGTGCACTACTCCAGGCCGCTCGCAGAACTGAATTAGAGGACACCCATTTGGTGTCTGGTTGGCATGGGAACCCCCGTCCCCGACATTTGCTGTCACAAGTGTTGCAGGTGTAGAAAAACAGTTTTTCCTTTTCAGGTATCCAAAGAACTTCCCCCACTGGTGTTCCAAGGCAGGCAGCTGGGAGGGGTGGGAGGTGGCTGGTCTCAGAATGCACAGGACGCTGGGGAGTCAGGGCGGCAGCGCCTGCTTCCCCCCTTCACCCAAAGTCATGGTCAGGCCTCAGCACACTCAGATTCAGTTGCTTCCACCAGCCCTGGGGGCACTGGTGTTGTGCCGGGATGGAGGTGGAGTGACTCTCGAAGGAGGGTGAACAGGGCACAGGCAGTCCTAAGTGATCAGTCGCCTACGTTCAGTAACATCCTTCTACACTCTGGGCTGTGTATTGCTGGGGCTAGAGTGCCATGGCGTCAGCCTAGCTCACAGCAACCTCAAACTCCTGGGCTCAAGTAATCCTCCTGGGTCAGCCTCCCTAGTAGCTGGGACTACAGGCATGCGCCACCATGCCTGGCTCATTTTTTTTCTCTATATATTTTTAGTTGTCCAGCTAATTTCTATTTTTTTAGTAGAGACAGGGTCTCCCTTTTGCTCAGGCTGGTCTCAAATTCCTGACCTCAAGCGATCCTCCAGCATCGGCCTCCCAGAGTGCTAGGATTACAGGTGTGAGCCACCACGCCCGGCCCCACTTTTTCCGTCTCTCCCTGGAAGCCCAGAGGTGCCCACAGGCAGCTCTCAGCCACACACAGTCATAGAGTCCCTGGGGTCCTGGCTGAGGTCAGGCAGACCCCTGTAGCTGGGAAGTGGAGCTGAAGTCATGGAACAACCACAGTCACCATGGCCACCACCCTGTGCAGAGAACCACACACCAGGAACCAGCATGCCCCAGAGAAATGCCACACAGGAATACACACCAAGAGGGCACTTGACAAACATTTATTTAGCACTTACTATGTGCCAGGCCTATGCAGGGGTCTGGGAAAACAAAGTCAATACAAACTGGTCCCTGCCCAAAAGGAGCTCATAGCCTAGTGGGCCAAGCTGTAAACCATGTAATAGCAGCAGAGGTGCATTTAGCTTCACAGTTTTACAATGAAATATGTTTTTTCAAGTGTAAACACCCAGCAACACAACCATGTTGTTTTAAAAGCACATAGGCATACATGTAAACACAGTCACATGATTGAAAGGACAGAAGTCACCTGCAGTAATACTTGTGCGTCCAGAGCCAGATGTCTGTGTGATTTATTCCTGTGTCAGGTGGGATACAAGTTTTGCCAATCTGCAGACATGGTGGTTGAGGCACAGGAGTTCGGTGGCCCACCTGCTGCCACCCAAGGTATCCTGAGTCCCCAGCCACTGCCTTTTCTCCACCACACCTGAGAGGCAGTCTTTTACTCTCCCCTGGACAAGGACCCTGTATATCCTTGGGCTCCTACTAGCCTGTCAGATGGGGATGGAGGGACCATGTCTTAGGAGCCCACAAAGCTGAGATCCCTCACCTGGCCTGGTGCATGGCTGGCCCATGGTGACACCTGCTCAGGTGAGCATGCAACACACCATGCCCATGCTTGGACGCTTCCGGACTGTGCCCATGCTTGGACGCTTCCGGACTGATGGAAACTTTCTGGTTAGTCTCAAAATCAGGCTGTCTGTGTCCTATGGGAACAACTGCCCTCCAAGTCCTCCTGTCCCCCCACTCCCCTACCATGAGCGAGGCATCCCAAGTGCAAGGGTGACCCATCCTTCCCACACCTGCCCTGGACTCCAAACAGGTCAGTGGAGTTTGGGGCTTGACCGGGGAATGCCAGACTTGCCTGTGATGGTTTAGTTTAGGAGGGTGTGGAGCCTAGCAAAGAGCCACAGCGGGCCAACTCATGGCTGGGGAATGGGGCTCAAGTTCACTTAACCCCAGGAGCGGGTGGGATAAAGCTGGGCAGTTCAGGGTACAGGCCTGAAAGGCTGGAGAAGGCAGGGCTGAGTTTAGGACCCACATAAAGGAGGCGGGCACGTCTCTACCTGCAGGCTGGACACAGTTTCACTTTAGAAAGGCCACCGTGGTTCTCAGCCCCTCAGGTGTGAGTGCCCCTGAGCCCCCACAGTGGCCTCTCTTAGACAGAGGCCTACCAGGCAAGTCAGAAGGGTTATGTTAAAAAGGTGTTTCTGACCCCATTTGCAGAGCAGGGGTGAGGGGAGGGCAAGGTGCCTCTCAGTGACTGCTGCCACAAGGCAGCCCCTGTACACGGGCCCAACAAAGTTCTGTCCTGGAGCTACTCCACTCTCTGGGACAGCCTTCCAGCCACCCTGCCCTCAGGCTGCTTTAGGAGGCCGGATTCCCAATAGCAAGCTCCACCCACCAATGACAGCCCAGACAGAACTCTCTTAATAAAAAAAAATAATTTATTGTCAACAAAGGTGATATATACAACAGGAGAACAGGTGAACAGGAGCGCAGGACTGAACGGGCCTGGAGAGCCCTCTGCAGGGATGGGGGCGGGAAGAGGTAATGGAGGCCTCCTCGTTCAGGGGCCTGAACAACAAGTGAGGGAGGGGAGGTGTCCCCCGAGGTAGTGGGACTCAGTTCAAACCCCATGATGACCACCTCTCATGTAAGGCACTGTGCCAGGGGAGAATGGTGGGGGCCGCGAGGGTGGGAGGAGGCTGTGTGGGAAGAGAGGTCTGGGTCAGGAAAGGACGGGTAGGTGTTCTCCACAGGCCCAATGCCCCACTGTGGGCAGCCGCAGCTGCCCTCAGGCCTGGCCAGGGTAGAGGGTGCCCCGAGGTACTAGTGGATGCTGCCCCACCCCCACCCTGCCCTGGCACCTGGTCTTACCCTCTCCGCCAGGTAGCCAGGCTGGGCAGCTGTGAGTTAGTTATAAACCAAAGGGCCATGCTGCCTATTCCCCCACATCCTCTCTTCCCCCCAGGAAAGCAAGAATTTACACCCCGCTCCCTGCCTTCGGCTCCCCCCCTACAGTGGCGTTGGATTCCGACAGAACTGCGGGCCAGTCTGGGGTGTCACCTGCTCCCACACTCTTGGTGCCCTGGGGGTGTTTGGACCAGTCTTGCAGGAGGCTGACCGCTGGGGGCTCCTCCATCCGCACACGGATAACCTGGAGATCCAGTGTCCCTCGGAGCCCTGGAGGGGGAGCTGGGCAGGGATGGGAGCAGAGAGCACAGTCAGGGCCCCCCAGATACCCTGCCACGAGGATGCTCCCTAAAAAGCTCTGTAAGCCGAACCCCATTTCCAGGGCCTTCATGATGTCCACAGCCCAGTGCCTGGTCTGAAAAGCCAGGACCGCAGGAGGCTCCACTCTTGTTTGATGTAAAAACTACTTACTACCAACCAGAACACAAGGCCACAGCCTTCTCAAGCCCAAGACAGACATTCGCTGTGACGCTGTCCTGCCACGTGATCCTGCCACACGGACACTTAGCGCTGTGTGCCTCTCCCCACAACTCTAACCAGCAGCTGACTCCATTCCACCTCACTCCTGCTGCGTATCCTAGCCTAGCAGGTTCTGGCCCAGTGGGGCAGATGTGGTCAGATGGGAACACCCAGAAGCAGTCTAAGGCATGGTTGTGACCACCAAGGAGCTCGGGAGGGACTCCATGGGGCAGAGAAGAGGCCTGGTCAGCACCTGCCTCTGCTCTGCAAGTTCAACCAAGTTCTTATCTCCACAGTCAATCCCTATGTCACAAGGACCCCATGTCCACCTTAGCTGGATGGAGAAGCTACTCACAATGGGCCAAACTGGGCCTCGAGGCACGAACTTTCATGGCCAGGGCAGTCATGAACACATCCGTGTCCCCTGTGAAGGGGCACATGCAAAAGTTACACTACACTGAAAACCAAAACCAGAAAATAGTGATTGCGACAGTTGTGCCGTCTATATTGAGGATTTGTTGTTTTTTTTATTAGAGACACAATTATTTAAAATGTGGCAGAGAAAACAGGTACGATTTTGCTGTATACTATAGTTTGCTGGTTTGGAAAATGACTTAAAGGCTGCCACCAGGTTGTACCATTTAGCAAATTCTGTTTTGTGTGCCCATAAGGGGCTCACCTCCCTGATAAACTGTAAGCTCCTCGAGGGAAGCCTGAGTCCCACTCATCTGTTCATTAATTCAACAATAATTTATTGAGCAACTATGATGTGATGTGTCCAACACTGTTCCGGCTGCTAAGAGGACTACAGTGAATGGAGTTGACCAAGCTGCCTTTCTGGAATCTACCTTCTAATAGTGAAAGCCCATAAGCAGGATAAATTAAAGATGCAGTATATTATATACAGACATATACAGAGTTGACAGATATACCAGGGAGAGGGGACAGAGTAGCAGGGAGCTGGCAAGTGAGAAGAGACGCAGAGGAGGTGAGAAGTCAGTTCTGTGGAGGGCTGGGGGAATAGCACTCTGGGCAGAGGGAAGAGCAAAGGCGGATGCCCTAGAGGACATGCTGGCTGCTGCAGGAACAGCCAGCGCCTGGGCAAAGGAGTGCACCACGGTGGGAGAGGTCAGGAGCCTCGTGGGGCAGCTACTTGGTCACCATGAGGACTCTGGCTTCTATCTGGAATGCAACAGGAGCAGCACCGGAAGGTTCTGGGCAGAGGAGTGACCAGATCTGACTTGTGCTTTCAGCAGGGACACTCTGGCTGCTGCATGAGAGCAGAGCACAGCGGGCAAAGCTCAGAAGCCAAGAGACCAGTCAGAAGGTTGATACAGGAAGCAGGTGAGACGGCTCGGACTAGGGTAGCAGCAGCAGAGATGGTGACAGGAGACGAGCTGTGAATTCATCCTGAAGGATCTGCTGCCAGACTGACGTGGGGCTGGAGACACAGCACCCTGAAGGATGGGGTTGCCAGTGTACTGGGAAAGGGAAAACGGGGATGGAGCACAGTGGCTGCGGGTGGGGCGTGGGAAGGAGATGGGGGTTCAGCTTGGATATGCCGAGTTTGAGAGATCTTTTATTTTATTTTTATTTATTGATTGATTGATTGATTGAGACAGAGTCTCACTTTGTTGCCTAGGCTATAGTGAGTGCCATGGCATCAGCCTAGCTCATGGCAACCTCAAACTCCTGGGCTCAAGCAATCCTACTGCCTCCCAAGTAGCTGGGACTACAGGCATGCGCCACCATGCTCGGCTAAGTTTTTTCTATATATATTAGTTGGCCAATTAATTTCTTTCTATTTATAGTAGAGATGGGGTCTTGCTCTTGCTTAGGCTGGTTTTGAACTCCTGACCTCGAGCAATCTGCCCGCTTCAGGCCTCCCAGAGTGCTAGGATTACAGGCATGAGCCACCACGCCGGCCCCGAGATCTTTTAGACAATCAAGGAGGGATGTCACCTGGGCAACTGGAAGAGAGGCTAGAAGCAGGGTGGAGGGGTCAAGCTGTGAGTTGCAAGCACATAAACGGTACTGAAAGCTATGAACCTGGATGACATCTCCCAGGGAGTGGGTACTGACATTGACCCATGGCTGGTGATATTTAATCATTTATTCATTTTCCAAACACAAAAGCAGTGCCTATTCTGTGCCAGACACTGTTCTGGACACTGGGGATCCTACAGTGCATGAAATAGACAGACATCCTAACATGAAGGCCCTCACATTCTAGAAAGGGAAGACACACAGCACCATAACAGGCTTCTAACTCTGAGAGCTGACAATGAACAAGCGAGAGAAACTGAAAAGGAATAGACAGTGGGGTAGAAGGAAAACCAGGTGAGCAGCCACCCAAAAAGCCAAGGGAAGAAAGTTGTCTCCAGGAAGGAGTGAGCGATGGGTCCATTGTTACCATCGGATCAAGAAAGAGAAGGACCAAGAACCGACCACTGGATTTAATTTTATGGATGTCAGTGGCGACTTTGCCAAAGAAGCAATTTTCGTGTGTTGAGGGTGAAAGTTTGATTGAAGTGGATTCCAGAGACAGACTGGGGGCAGTGGTGTAGAAAACACTTTCCAGTTTTGCTGAAAAGCTTTGGGGACAAAAGGGACAGTGGCTAGAGAGGGAGGAGGGGCTGAGAAGGGAGAAACACAGCCTTGTGTTGGTGGATGGGGGCATGCAGAAGAGCTGGAGTGACAGGGAGGGGTGGGTTCCAGTGATGGGCAGAGGGGCAGCCTTTGCCAGGGGCAGTTTAGCTATAGGGACTGAAGGACACAAACTAGAGAATGTGGCCCAGGTGCCAGAGGGAGGGAGTAGGTGGATGCTGCTTGTAAGTGAGGCATCTGCATGGATGTAGTAGAAACACAATAGGCTGCGCTGACTAGGTTGAGGGCCCATTCGAGGCTCAGTTTCCTCTTCTGCAAAATGGTGATCATATTACCTTCCATGGTGGTTGTGTGGATTTAGTGAGATAACATATTAGAAGAGTTCAGTACATAGTAAGGGCTCAAGAGGTATGGACTTCCCAAGCCAACGGAATTAAGTGCCAATTCTTCCCGGCTGGAAGGAAGACAGAGGATCAGGAGGATGGGGAGGTCAGGAGAGTGAGGCCTGAGAGGTGGTGAAGATCAGAGCTCCAGGTCCCTGGAACAGTAAGCCTGGAGGATTTAGCAATCACCGGGGCAAGCTAAACCCCTGAACTGCCCTGACTTCCCTCCTGTCCCTGCCCAAATTCCTGTGCTTCCTAGTGTCACTTCCCCGCTCTCCTCCTATTTGTGCATCTGTGCTTAGGCACATTTCACACAGACCCGCTGCTTCTGCAGAGGGTGGAGCTGAGCCCATTCCCCTTGCTTCTCACCAAAGCCCATCTTTAAGAAGGACTCTGGAAATGTCACCACCGGAATGATAAGGGAAGGCAGCTATTAATCATCCACCCATCCTTTCAATATATTTACTGAGGGCTTTCTTTGTGCTAGGCACTGTTCTAAGTGCCAAGGATACAGCAGTGAACAAAAGTAAAGACCCTCAGGAAGCTCAGACTCATGTACATTCTCTCACTATGCTTCCTCCATGGTCTGCCCCAAAACACGCCGGATCTGGCCAAGGTGTCCTAAGCCAGATCTCTAGGTCCTACTTCTATAATTAAACACCAACAAGGCAAAGAGATTCTTTTTTTCGTTATTTCTGAGTGTGTCCTATTTGGCCACCTTCTCTCCTGGCCTGGACACTCTCTCCCCACCCTCATCCTGCAAGGTCCTTGGAAAGTTCTATAAAGTCCTCCCAGCCTGCCTCACATTCACATCCCATCAGTTCAGTGAGCGAACCCGACCAGCCTGCCTCACATTCACATCCCATCAGTTCAGTGAGCGAACCCGACCATGGTGACCTTTTTCAACTTCTAAATCCATGGTTTTTAAACTTCTTTTTTGAAAGTGGAGGGATCTTTATTCTGACAAAGTCTTCAGAGGACTTCAATCCACACATAATACAGAAAACAGACATTATTCTGGCTGAAGCCTCACAGGTTTCTGAGACATCTGTCTCCAAGCTACGAGTTCTTGAAACAGTCTGAAACCTCGGGTCCAGAGTCTCTGTTCTGCAGAGGAGCATCATGGGTGCCCTAGTAGTCTTTAAAGCATCACTGCCTCCAACCTGTGCTCCTAGACAGAGTTTTTGGGGACAAAAGCTGCCTTACTCATATTACCTCCCAGCCTCGGGGCTGGGCTCCAGGAACACTGGCTGCTGCTCCACTTAGTGTCTCCTGCGGCTTCCCGGCCATCTCCAACCTCCACAAATCCTGCCACAGCCGAAATGGCCCTGCAATCTCCTCCACCTCTCTCAGGTCATTCAATCAGTGTGCTGGACCCCATTCCCCTCAGGCTTTGCCCACTCACCCCAAAGGAACCTAAAAGCTCAGGGATTCTCTTCTCATCTACTCACCACTCCAGATAGGTGGAGTTTGGGCACAGGGCACCCCAGGACTCGAAGTGAAGGCTCCCTTTCGAGAGTGAAGACGGAAGACCCATGAGACAGCGGGAGAGGCCAGCCACTTAGAGCAGGGATCCACCAAAGAGGAGACTCAGGGAACGCTCGGGTCCCAGCAGAACACACGGTCTCAGGGAGGCAGGACTGGAATGGGACTCAAGCTGAAACTTGAGACAGTTAAAACTGTGATCTACATGAAGAGGGTGAGACCTGCCTCGAGATTAGAAAACGAGGGCCCATCATGGCAAATAAACAAATAAATAAAAGCAGTTGCAGACATACACACACAATTTTGTCTGAACGACACAATCCAAACTACTAAGAGTGGCTACCACTGGCGAGTGGATTGGGACTGCAGGAGCAAGTAGCCTGCTGGCTTTTTTCTTTAAGCACAAAGCACAACTCCTTTTTGAGAGCCCTGCTCTGGGCAGCATCCAGCCACCTTATTGGCCACCATTCTCTGGGCTCTAGCTCCAAACACACATTTCAGACAAGCTGGGACAAGACAGGCCTGACCCACTCACTCCTTCACGAAACATTTCTAAAGCCCCCGAGATATCTCGAGCCACGCCTGGCAGCGAGAGGCAAAGAAAGGACCAGGCTTGGCCTCTGCCCTCTTGGAACACATTCCAGTCTCAGCCTAATCCTGTCACTGCTCAGTTAGGTGACTGTGGTAGGCAGAACAGTGGTCCCTCCAAAGATGTCCATGTCCTAATCCCCAGAACCTGTATGTTTTGTTACTTGGCAAGCAGGAATGAAGACTGCAGATGGAATTAAGGGTGCTTAAGCAGTGGACTGAAAACTAGAGAGATTATCCTGGATTATCTGCATGAGCCCAATGTAATGACAAGGGTGTTAAATGGGGAAAAGGAAGGCAGATGAGAAGAAGCAAAGGTGGCGTCCTGAGAAAGACTCTACTGGCCACTGCTGGCTTTGAAGACAGGAAGATGCCACAAGCCAAGAAACATGGGCAGCCTCTAGAAGCTGGGCAAGGCAAGAAAACAGATTTTGCCCTGGAGCTTCTAGGAAGGAACACAGCCCTGACAACACCTTGATTTTAGCTTAGTGAGACCCATTTTGGACCTCTGGCCTTTAGAACTATAAAATAACATATGCTGTGTTAAGCTACAAAGTTTATGTGATTTGTTATAGCAGCAAATAGAAACCAACACAAAGACCACAGGGAAGAAGAAATCACCTCTCTGAGACTTAGTTTGTCTAACTGGAAAAGTAAATGGACATCTTCCCTTTATACAAGGAATTTTTGTAAGGGCCAATTAAACTGCATGTCAAAGTTTCTTAAAATCATCACGACACCATAAAAACGCCAGCACTTACTGCTACTACTAGGCGGTTTACTGAGCAAGTGTCCCTTGGAGGTGTCTGTTCCCTCCACACCTAACTGCATGACTGGGCAGCCTCCTGTGGGCTCCTGCTCTACCAGGGTGGGATGGGTACCTCTCAGGCTCCAGCTAGAACCAGGTTCCTGTGCAGACATGTGTCAGGCTTTTGGGGAACGCTAGCCTAACCCAACCTAACGACCAATTCCAGGAAACGCCAAGGAATGCTCAAAAAAGCTCAGCTTTCTGGGCAGCCTCCTCCATCATTCAAAACCCTGCCCTTGGCCATCTTCCAGGGGTTCTGAGCACCACCCCCTCTGCCCTGGGCTCTGCTGCAGAGTAGCCTCTTGGAGGCCAGACCCAGGGATGCTGCCTGCGATGTCCCCCGTGCGGCTCCCTCCCGGGAAAGCTCACCTGGAGAGGGGCTTTCCGGCTGGGGCAGGGCTCCTTCTGCCACCTCCCCTTCTTTAGGGGAGTCCTTGCTGTCTGGAGCCCTGAGCTGGGTGTGGGAGAAGAGCTGCAGGACGAAGCCAGGAGGGAAGCTGCCGTCAGTGAAGTGTCGGACCTCAGCTGGTGCTGCGAAAGTCTCTGAGGGTGAGTCGGGCGACGGGGGGTCTAGGAGGGAGGACAGAGCTGTGAGCGAATGGGGAGGGGCTGCAAAGCTCCACTGAGTCCTCAGGGGACCTGCGGGTACCTGGGCCCTACCCATCCCCACCTCAGAGCACCATAGCCAGAGCCCACGGCCCCCTCCTGGGGCCTCCCCTTCACCTGGGTCAGGGTCCAGGTTTTTGGTCATAGGTCTGCCTCTTTTCTTCCTGACTGGCTCCTCTTCAGGGGGTTCCTTCCACCTCTGACCACGGAACTTCTTACTTCCTGGCTCTGCAGCAGAGGCAGCTGCAAAAAGAAAAGACCTTATACCTTTTCTAGGAGGCCATGCCCAAACCCTGCAACCCCAGAGCTCCTAAAGATACCTGCTCAGCACACAGGGCCTGCACCTCACCCGGTCCACAAGATCCCACCCCACTGAGCCTCACTAGCTTCTCTGTTTTCTTTTTTTTTTTTTTTGAGACAGAGTCTCACTCTGTTGCCCAGGCTAGAGTGCCATGGCGTCAGCCTAGTTCACAGCAACCTCAAACTCCTGGGCTCAAGCAATCCTTCTGCCTTAGCCTCCCAAGTAGCTGGGACCACAGGCATGTGCCACCATGCCCAGCTAATTTTATATAAGAGATAGATAGATATATAGTTGACCAATTAATTTCTATTTTTTTTTTTTAGCAGAGATGCGGTCTTGCTCTTGCTCAGGCTGGTTTTGAACTCCTGACCTTTGAGTGATCCTCCTACCTCAGCTTCCCAGAGTGCTAGGATTACAGGCATGAGCCACCTTGTCTGGCCCTAGCTTCCCTGTTGACTGACCAGGAAGCTCGAGGGGGCGAAGTCCCCGGGGACGGGTCCTTTTAGGGAGGGACAGGTTGTCCTCAGAGTCAAGGAGAACGACGATCTCCGCTGGCGTCCTGGAAGAGTCTGGGTTGGAGTCTGGGTCTGGCTCGACATCCCGGCCTGCTTCTGAAGGGGCAAAGGCCCAGTGAGCTCCAAGCGCCCCACCAGGCCCAACTCCTCCCTCTGCCCCTACCTCAGGCCCAACTACCTGAGTTGGGTGAGGACGGATGCTCAGCTCTGACATCCTGCAGAAGGGCCACCCCCTCGCTCCAGGCCTCCAGGATGTTGCTCTTCTCCGAAGGGCTCAGGTCCAGGGTGTGAGGATGCTGCTCCAAGATGTGTGAGCGAGCCGTGTCGGCTGACGGGGACGGGATCTCGGCGCCGCACACCATGCACAGCGCCCGCCCGCTGCCTCCCGGGCTGCTGCCCACCAGGAACTCCTGCTCCCAAGACACCTGCTGCTTCAGCTCCTCACAGCCATCACCGCCTGCCTCCAGCAGGCTGGGTCTTGGTGGTGGGGTCTTCTCTTGTTGGGTCACTGTGCAGGGAGACGGAAGAGCATTATCAATAAAGGTGCCTATGGCCAATAATACTTAGCACTTGAGTTCCCAAACATGGTGGCTTGTGTGGGAGGGAGGGGGAGCATTCCCATCCACAATGTTCTTCTCCCTTCCCCTGGAACCCATGAGGCATGAGCCATGCTGAACACAGCCTGCATGCCTGGTGTCCTGCTACGCTTGCCTCTACACCTTCTCGCAATCTAGTCCTAGGCTGCAGGACTACATGCATCTTTCCAACAGGCTCTGTTCCTGCAGGTCCCCAGCCTCTGCACATCTATTCCAGACCACCCTGATCAGTCTGGGGGTGACATCACCCCTGCAAAGCCTTCTAGACCCCCACCTGAAAGTTGATTCCACCTGTATCTGACTTCTGGGCAACAGCGTGCGTTTTCTCAAGGGTGAGGACAGAAAATGTTACCATCCTAGTAAAGGTCCCCCCATCCCGGGGCTGGCTGCCTTCTGCAGTGCTCCCAGAGCATTTGTGGCTCGGCTCTCCCACCCATGGCACAAACTGTAATCTCTGACAGGGCAGGAGCTCCTTTCAGCTCAGCAAAGAAGGCGGCCTTAGACCCACACCAGTCAGCAGCTCAGCGCTTCTGTCAGGCACCTATGATGTCCCATGGCTGCACCTCTCTCCCACCTTCCAGAGAGGACAGGACAAAATATGAATACGGCATGCCCTAATACCCATGGGCTGTATGGAAGAGGTGGCATTTGAAATGGATATGAGCCTTGGCTTGGACTCAGGTGTGAGCTAGGTTCTAACTCTCTCTCATGTGACCACGGGCAGGAACTCTAACCTCTCAGTTGCAACCCACTTTCTTCCCCACCACTTTTCCAAAACAGCTCTCGCCAAGGTCACCAACACTAAACCCAGCAGTTAGTTCATTAGTGTCGTCCTCTGCCAATCACCTCCTCCATCTCAATTTTCATCACTCACATCCATCCAGGGCACCACCTTCCACTCTCACTTCTCTGGCCTACTTTCTCCAGGTCACCACTGAAGAACATTTCCCCCAGCTGTGCACCCCAATCCCTTCTCTTTGTCATTTCCTCCAGAGCACACACCACAGCCTGACATTGTTTTTTATTGTCCACTCTGTATCCCCACCACACTGTAGGATCCATGGCAGCACAGATTATTTATTTTTTTAGAGACAGGGTCTTGCTCTGCCACCCAGGCTGGAGTGCAGTGGTGTCATCATAGCTCACTGCAGCCTTGAACTCCTGATTTCAAGCCATCCTCCCACCTAAGCCTCCTGAGTAACTGGGACTATGGGTGTGCACCACCAAGTCCGGCTAATTAAAAAAAAATTTTTTTGAAGAGATGGGGTCTCACTATGTTGCTCTGGCTGGCTTCAAGGGATCCTCCCACCTCAGCCTCCCAAAATGCTAGGATTACAGGCGTGAGCCACCGTGCCCAGCCTTGACAGCAGATTTTTGATGTTCAGCACCTGTATCTATAGCACTGAGAACAGTGCCTGGCATTTAGTAATGTCTGATGAAGGACTGACTCCATCTCCAACCTGTAATCACTGGAATATTCCAGGACTCAGTCCTTGGACCACTTTTCTGTCTACCTCCTTCCTCTGATAAGCCTCATCTCATTGCCTTCCTGCTGACAACTCCCATATCTATACCTCTAGCTGGATTTTTCCCAGGAAATACAGACTTAGGTATCTGAATGCCTACACAACCCCTCCGCTTGAACGTGTGATAGCATCTCAAACTTACCATATTCAAACCTTAACTCCCAATCAATCCTCCACAAGCCTGCACCCCAGGCTCCCCCATCTCAGTAAACAGGCGGGCCACTCTTCAGTGGCTCAGGCCGAAAAGTCTTGCATTCAGTCTTTTTCTCATACCCCAAATCTTTCCTCCACACTTGCTGTTCCCTCTGCTTGAAGTGCTCTTCCTCTAGCTATCACCAGGCTGGCTTCCTCCCTTCCTTCAGGTCTGCACTCAAAATTCACATTAGCGAAGCCTTTCCTAACCACTCAATGCACCAAAGAAAATTTCCAGCCCCCTGTTCTCCTTGTCCTGCTTTCGTGACTTCTGAAGCACTGACACACTATACATTTACCTATTTAATACTCTTTTCAGCCATTGGTATAGCGATGTTTCTCAGCTGCAGGTTTTGCTGCTTTGTTTACTGATATTACCATCTCTAACCTAAAACAGTGCCTGGCATACAGTAGGTGCTCAATAAACATTAGCTGAATGAAGTAACTTCTGTGGACTTCAATTTCCTCTCTAGCAGTGGGGATAAGGCTGCCCATTGGAGGGCTGTTGAGAGGATTAACTGAGACGGCCTTTCACAGCGCCCAGCGAGCACTCGATAAATCTTAGCAGAAGTAGGAAAGTAACCTGTCTGTCGGACTGAATGCTCTGAGAAGGGAGGGGACCTTTATTTCCCTCATTATTTTATACCCCTCCAGATTCCAGAAAGGATGAGGGGCACTGCAGACAGCACTGTTTAGCTGCGGTTCCCCGAATGCCCCACTCTCAACCTCTCTGGGTACTTTCCTCCCTACGGAAGAGAGGCAGTGGAGAATGGAAAGACATTGCATTTTCATGAACAGTAAGTCGTCCACAAAGATGGCTCTTTGTTTCCGACGGTCTGCAAGCTCCCGAGGACTAAAGAAACCAGTGAAGGGGGAGGGGAGAGCACAGAGCGAGCGGGCGTACATAGATTGTTCCTCGAATCCCCTCCCAAGGCTAATCTTCTAGGGTGGCCCCCCAGCAAGCATGGTTTTTCCAAAACTAAGTGCTGCATGCAGTCCCATTCATCCCCGCTCGACACAATCTGACACCTGTGGCTTATACTAGTGGAAGGCCTGGGTGGGGGTGGGGCGCAGAAAAGCTTTACGCTCGGAGGGCCCTTAAAATTCTCCAGGAGGTCGGCAGCGGCACTGGCCTCCGTGCTCCGAATCGCCCGACACGCAGCTGCCTCGTCCACCCTCGGGCCTAGAGGCCCGGCCGCCCCTCGGCCTGAGCACAGCCGGGCCTTGCGCCCGCGCCCGCCTCCCAGGGCGCTAAGACAGCGGCGGCAGGCGCCCGGCGCTTCAGGGGACCCGGCCTCGCGCGCCAGGCCCGGGCGAGGGGGCGCTCGGGCACCGGAAGAGCCGGAGCGCGCCGGGCGTGGATCGAAGTCTCCAGACCCTGGGCGGGGGGAGGGGAAGGGGGAATTCGAGGAGGCCTGAGATTCCAAACCCCGGTGGGGGAGGAGCAAGAGCGGCCCCGGACTCAGATGGCAGCGGGGGCGCCTGGACCCCAGACCAGAGGGAGTGAGAGGGCGCCCGAGCCCGGGACCCCGACTGCGGTGGGGGGGTAGCCCCAGCCCCGGGCCGTGACGCGGAAGTGGGGTCCCCTCCCATCCCTCACCTCTGAGCATCGGCTCCCGCCGCGGAATGACGGCCACCACCACGGCCTCCTCCTCGTCCTCCCCTTCCTCACATTTGAGCGTCACCTCGAAGCAGTCGAGCGCGGCGCCCTCGGCCTTCAGGGCCATGGTGCGGCCGCGGGCGATCGCGGTGACCGCGCCGGAGGACGGGCGCGCAGGCCTCGGCGCGCAGCCGGCCGCCGCCTCCCGCCCGGGACTGCGCCCACCGGGCCGCCCCGCCGGCCGCCGCTCGCCGGCCGGGCCTGCGACGGGCGCGTCCGGGCCTCCCCACTGCCTCAGAGCGTCGAGACCCCGGGCGGGGAGGTCTCAATCCAGGCCCCAGCCCCCCGCCGCTCCCTTTTATGGAGGCTCATGTCGGCGCCGCCGGCCGGCGCCGCCGGCCCGCCCCGCCCGCGCGGCCAATCGCGCGCGGCCCGCCAGGCCCCGCCCGCGCACGCGGCTCCCTAGCATCCCGGGGACCCGCGGGGCGGCGGGAAGGGGCGCGCGGGCTAGCGGCCGCCCCCCAGCGCGGAGGCGGGGTTTGCCCGGCGGGGCGAAGCCCCAAACGCCCCCTGAGCGGGCGCCGCGAGCGGGCAGGCGGGCCGAGCCCGGGGGTCGCCCCCGCGCGGGAGCCAGTCGGGCGGTCTGCTGGTACGGAGTGCGACCGGGTTCCCAGGATTTCGCTCGGGGTCGCCTTTCCTTTCCGCGGACCGGCCTTCTCCGCCAGCAGATGCCCTGGCGGGAAAAGAACCGGAGCGGGAGTGGAGACGGAGTTCCTCTGCTCGCCAGCTCTGTGACCTTGGGCACCGTGTCTGGTTTCTTAGACTAGCTGATGCTTTCTTTGAAAAACCATTTTGGACCCTTCCGGACAAAGGAATGCCAAGACGAAGAGGAGCCGAATGGAGTGTGGGCGCGCGTAAACTACCCCCATGGTTATGATTTCCATATTTTAAACGCGAGTCCAGAGATTTTGTGACCCTCTCCAAGGACACACAGCAATCCCTTGAGAGCCCCAAGACCAGAGTCCAGCTGCCATGACGCTGCTGCATCCTAACCATACCCTGGGTGAGCTTTTGCCCCTGTGGCATAGAACAGCATCTCCCTGTTCTGTAGAAACACTCGGGAGATTTTAGTGGAGAAAATGCGAAATGTCTGACACTCAAAATTCGTCTTCAAATGCCGTTATATCAGAGCAGACTCAATAGTCATTAAGAATGATGTAGTAGGCCGGGCGCGGTGGCTCACGCCTGTAATCCTAGCTCTCTGGGAGGCCGAGGCGGGTCGATAGCTAGAGGTCAGGAGTTCGAAATCAGCCTGAGCAAGAGAGAAAGAAATTAATTGGCCAACTAATATATATAGAAAAAATTAGCCGGGCATGGTGGCGGCATGCCTGTAGTCCCAGCTACTCAGGAGGCTGAGGCAGTAGTAGGATCGCTTGAGCCTGGGAGTTTGAGGTTGCTGTGAACTAAGCTGACACCACGGCACTCTAGCTGGGGCAACAGAGCAAGACTGTATCTAAAAAAATAAAATAAAAAATGATGTAGTGGAATGGAGGTGGGAGAGGAGGTGTGAAGTAGTCTGTATGGATTACCGTGTATTTTTTTTTTTTTTTGCTCAGGCTGGTTTCGAACTCCAGACCTCGAGCAATCTGCCTGCCTCAGCCTCCCACAGTGCTAGGATTACAGATGTGAGCCACCACACCTAGCCCTACTGTGTATTTTTAAGGGTATGATTTTGTTACTTTCAAGTGTATCCAGCACTTTAAAGGTTTTATAAATAAAGGTATTACCGAGCCTGTTTAACTAATTTCTACTTTATGGTCATTCTCCACGATTTGCCTCTGATCCCTTCCTTGCCCATGGGCTCTGCTCTGTGTTGCAGTGGACTGACCCTTGACCCTGCGGGGCAGTTTCTCAGTCTTCCAAAACATCTAGCTTCAGGCCTGGGTTTAGCCAATGGGAACAGTGGCAGGGGACTGAAGGGAGAAGAGTTTCTTCTCCTTCTCTCTTGCTGAGGCAGGTCTCCAGCAGAGACTGGGCTTCTCTGTGGCTCCAGCTCCTACTGGGTGGGTAACTGGTCCCAATACCTGCAGGGTGATCCATGCCCCTGGGCTCCATGAATTCCGCCTCCTTTTTGTCCCTCTAGTTTAGGGGTCGTGGGCAGCTTCTTGTTTTTGTTAATCTCTGGGCTGCTTCACTGTCCCCTGTTGGGCTTCTCACCCCTTCCATTACCCTTGTCAATCTGTCACTAAAACTATGCATTAAATGCTCTCTGTTTTAAATGTTTGGAGTGATTCCTGTTTCCCTAATTGAACCTTGAATGAGGCTTTGGCCTTAGTGAATTTGGCCTTGGAATTTAGGAACATGAGATTCCTAAAACAGGGCAGGACAGACTGGAGATAGGAGAGAGGAGGACTAGTTGCTTCTGCCCCAGGAATTGGCTGCTCCAGGCCACTCCCTGGGATGGCCTCTAGGCTGGAGGCCCAAGCTGGGAGGAAGCATTTCCTTTTGGCGCAGCTTTTACTGTTGGTGGCATTTTGGGGCCCCAGTGGACAGCGAGTGGGCTGCTGCGAGTGAAGACAGCTGTGGGGATATTAAAACGTGAGTGGGTTGCTGTGGCGAGTGGACCAGACCAAGCTCAAATGAGGAGAGGGCTGTCTAGAGGCCAAGTAAGGGTGAGCAAGGGGCTTGGCTACTAACCGGCTTGGCACTTCCTAGCAGTCTTCAACAACAGCCATGATAAATATATATCCATGCTCGTTGGCTCAGTAATCCTACTGCCAAGTTACCCTAAAGTCATCCAAAAGTAGAAAAATGACCAAAGACTATGTTCAAAACAGTTCACTGCTTAAATTCTTCAGTCCCTAGAACTTAGCAGACTACCACTCCTAGGTGAAATTTTATTCAGTTGGTGCATGTGGTCAGAAGTCCTCTTGGCTCCTGCATCAGTTGGAACACCTCTGTTGCGGAGCTCATCGTATCGTATTTATTATTTGTTTGCCTGTGCCCTGTCTTGTCCATCTTTATAGCGTCAGCATCAGCCCAGGACTTGTGGTGATAGCACCAACTTGGTGCCTGCATGTCAGGGTTCTTGTTGCAAAACTCTAAACTCAAACTAGCTCAAAGAAAATGGGGGATTTATTGGCTCATTTATTGGGATTTATTGGAAATCGAGGAAGGGCTGAATGCCCAATTGTGGGAAGGGCAGGGATTCAGGCTGACTGTCAGACTCAGGATGTCACTGCCGCCAGGATGTTCTTTCCATCCCTGGTCTCTGCCTTATTCTCTCCTTGCACGTTGGCTTCTTCCCAAAGCAGATGTGGCCACCGTTTCCCCCAGACTATCGTGCAGCTCTGCACATTTCTAACCTTGTCTCTCCTGCACTGCCCACACGTACTGCTAGTGCTGGCCACTGTAGGCTCGTCTCACCAAATGACTTTCTGGCCCTGCACCTCGGTGTCACGAAATGAGGTGGGTCAGCTTGATGGGTAACAGGAGGATTCCCAGCAGCCATTCCTACTCGGGTGGCCGCCAATAACATAACTGTGTAGGGAAATAGCCACGAACTATAGGAATCTATACCAGTGAACTACTGAACTACTAAACTATGCTGAACTGAGTGGATGGAAAATGCCAATGGCTGTTCACCTCCACTGGACATGAGGGGAAGAATGGTGGGAAAGAAGACATTAATGAGTTTTAACTGACAGAATAGTACATATACTATGATCCCAATTATGTTAAAAGTAGTACCAATGTGGCCGGGCGCAGTGGCTCACGCCTGTAATCCTAGCTCTCTGGGAGACCGAGGTGGGTCAATAGCTCAAGGTCAGGAGTTTGAAACCAGCCTGAGTAAGAGCGAGACCCGTCTCCACTATAAATAGAAAGAAATTAATTGGCCAACTAATATATATAAAAAAAATTAGCCGGGCATGGTGGCTCGTGCCTGTAGTCCCAGCTACTCGGGAGGCTGAGGCAGGAGGATCGCTTGAGCCCAGGAGTTTGGGGTTGCTGTGAGCTAGGCTGACGCCACGGCACTCACTCTAGCCTGGACAACAAAGTGAGACTCTGTCTCAAAAAAAAAAAAGTAGTACCAATGTGATTGGTATATATATGCAAGAAACTGTGTAAGAATGAAAACTAAGATATTAACATTGGTTAACTCTGAATGGTGGGATTATGGCAATTTTTACATTTTAAGTTTTCTGTATTGTCTGATATTTTTACTTTTATAATCAGAATTTAAAATGTCATTTCTATTTTTTTTTTTTAAAAAAAAGCTCCAAATGCAGCAGACATTTGACAAAATAGATCACCCATTCTCAACTGGATCCCCAATGTCTCATGGAGCAGGAATGGCAAGTATTTGGCCTGGCAGCCGTGATAGGTTGGCTTACTGTTTCCAACTATTCCAGCCCCTCCTGTAAGTAGATTACATGCCTGGCCTCATTACCTTGAGGCTTTCAGTGCCTCCCAGAAGGCAGTGAATACTTCCCCAGCCCCTTGACTCTGGGCTTGGCCATATGACTTGCTTTGGCCCTTGGAATGTGAGCAGGCGTGAAGCAACCACACCCTAGCTGAGGCTTTGCAGTGTCCGTGTGCGGTGTGGTTTGGCTCTGTGTTTGTGCCATCCCTCCTGGGAACAGCATATCCCAGGGAAATGCTGCTGCTTCAGCTTGGGTCCTGGAATAGGAGATACCTGAAGCAGACCTGAACCCAGCTCACAGTCTGGAGCCAAGTCCACTTGAGCGTAGGAGAGCCACAGTGGACCCCCAGACTTGGGAGCAAGAAATAAATGCTTGCTGTTGCCAGTGACCCAGTTTCAGGATTGTTTGTTACGCAGCATTGCCACAGCAGAAAGCTGACCAATACTCCAGATCCTGGATTCTCTCCCCGAGCTCCTTGCTCTCTTTTTTTCAAATTTCATGGAGATAAGGGTGGCATTGGGGGACCAACCCTCTTGGTTTGCCCAGGATTGAGGGATTTCTCAGGACTTGAGACTTTTCACTTTTATAAAATAGTTTTATCAAGATATAATTTTCATTTCATATAAACCACTCATTTAATGTGCACATCAATGTTTTTGAGTATGTTCATAGGTTTGTGCAATCATCATTACAATCTAATTTCAGAACATTTTGTCCCTCCTAAAAGCAACCTCATACCCATTAGCAGCTACTCCTCATTCTTCTTCTTACCCCTAATCCCTAAACAACCACTAATATTCTTTCTGTCTCTATAAATTTGTGTATTCTGGACATTTCATATATGTGGAATCATATAATATGTGGGCTTTGGTGACTGGCTTCTTTTTTTTTTTTTTTTTTTTTTTGGCTTCTTTTAATT